TTCTCAGGGATAGCGAACCCCCTACGAAGGGATCTGAGGTAGTGCTCAGGTATCCTAGAAGGGTATTCCAAACCCTGACCTGAAGTGGAGGCGTCACTATCCTCCCCGTCATCGGAGATTCTAAAGTTTTCTATCTCCTCGAGCTCGGACTCTAACCTACGAGCTAAATCGGATCCTAGGTTGCTGCTAATAGAGGACGACATGGCAGTTATGTTCGAAAGAGAGAGGGAAGAGACCGACCTACCAAGGGTTCGAGCTGCCTTCAGATCGAACTCCAAGAATTCAAGGAACGTAAGGTATGATCTGAAGGATTGGGGGCATTTATAGCCCGTCGGAAGAATTTCCCCACCGTACACGTGTAATCAACGAGCGGCTAGGATCCTCTCTGAAGACCCGAAGCGTCGGAATATTTGAATATTTCGACGATAAATCTTCCGCGACGGTTGTATTTTCCCACGGATAGGAAGTCGCCACGTGTCCCAAGCAAGTCGAATGAACTTCTCTGCCAGGTCGAGATCGGACCAGACAGAGAGGGGGCCAATGTTTGGGGAAGGGAATACCCTGGACACGTGGAGGACCCCTATTGGTGCTCCAAGATGGCTCATGAGTCATCTCCAGCTCGGATGGCCGAGATGGCCGCCACCAACGCCGACAAATGCTAAGTATGAGGGCCGAGGTGAACCTGGCCCAGGTCCGACCTACCGGGGAGCTTGGTAGGGGCCGATGTGAGCGGCTGTCTACGGCGTGATTATCGGGCGTAACCGTCGGTCCCGGGATTACCGGGTGTAACCGACGGTCCCGAGATTACCGAACGTAACCGTCGCGAGATTAGCGGGACTACCACCCATAAGTAGAGGACTTCACTCCACGATCAGGTACGGGGATCTCTGGCTTCGAACTAAACTTGGACTCCGACCTCTACTGACTTGATCGTCGGAGTGCTCACCTTTTCGTGCAGGTCCGCCCAAGTGTCCAGGACGGCCTGGAAGCCGAGTTTGAGCTACAATCAAGAACACACCGTTGTGCACATTTTTGCATAAACATGTATAATTCAAATGATCAAAAAATATATATATATATCCTCCAAACAAATGGCCAAAGTTGGAATCTCAACCCAAGCTGGAAAATTAGAAAATGTGACATCAAATTATTAAATAATTGATGGGCAAAATCGTCGATCTAGATCTAAAGTGGAAATGATCAAATTCGGTTAACGGGTAAAATGGAAATTTTAGTACACACAAGAAGTAATTGAAATTATTCAACTGCTTCAAATAATTTTATATCAATTCAAAATTCATATTATTTAAATATGTTTTTGTTTCACTGGTATTGTAGCAATGAAATATTAGATTATTAAAGATGTTAGTTGACCAAAAAAAAACTACATTCGTAATGGTATGGTATGAGCGAGATTTTTTAAAAATAGAAAAGTAATTATTGACGTGGATTGTTACTTCAAACTATTCAGATAGCTCACAATCTAATCTAAATATTTTCTATCGAGGAGCTATAAAAATATTTAGTGTGAAGCGTACATGGTCGTAACTACTTGGTAACCTGATTTAGATGGGACGAGAAGTACCTAACTCAAATAAATCATTGCTTAATTAATCTAGGTAAGATTAGAAAGCTGCTAGACAAATCGTCTTATAACACAATCGAATGAGCTTAAAAAAGTTACATTAACATAAGCGAGTCACAACCGAATTAAAGAGGCTCAAGAAAACCAAATACCAAACACAAACCACTATGATTTTCTCGATAGCACATGATTTGTACCAAGCCATAAATGGGATACTAAAACTCTTTTAAGATTCAAAATTCAGTTTCACCCATTCTTTCGTCTATAGTTTTTATTTCAACAACTATAAGTGATGATGGAACGTTCAATTTCGATGATCGAACTATGTTGGTTTTATGTATACTTTTGTTTTGTTTTTTACAATGATAGAGTGAGAGATTGAACGAAAATCTTTGCGATGATGTTTGAGCTATACTCAAAGATTTGTATCTACAAGTTAATAATCCAATTATTTTTTCAAACACGCCATTAAGGTCAAACTTGGTCAATATATGACAATTGGAGAGCTTGAGTGTCTTTGACAAAGAAATACTTGCACAAGAGAGATAAACACTCTGAGAGGTTCAAGTCAGTTTAAACTCGACCTTAATATGGGATCCGAGATAGAATGTGATACGTGATGTAGAAATGAGACCCCATATTTATAGAATATGGATCTGACAAGCGGTTATTGGTGTCGTGCCAAAGATCGAGTTTGTCGAATGCCTATGGTCTGTCTTGGATCATATCTTCAATGCAGGAGAATATCTTTAAATTATTTGTGATTAAGTATGGAAGGTTGACTTCTCTAGAGATGGTTCTCACAGTTAGGATCTTACCTTCCGACCTTCCTCCATTCTACACGTAGAAAAATTGTTTTTTACCTCCAACAATGACATTATCATACCAAAGATGGATGATTCGATTTACTGCAAGTTTAACTAAAAAATAATAATTAGTAACAATAATACCTCAATTATTTGAGGTAAAAGGTAGATTCCAAAAGATCTAAAGAACTTCATAAATTAGTTTACAGATGGGACCTGGCAGCCTGTTCCTGTGGGGAAGGAAAGTCCAAATTCTTCGATCTCTGAACTCTGCGTTGCCCTCGAATGTTGGAGCAGCTGTTGTTGTAGCCCACAAGAAATCAGCCATGGATTTCAGTTCTTCTCCTTCCAAGACCATTTCCGTTTTCTCCACCATTCCTCTGCCGCCGCCGGCCGCCGACGCCGTCGATGGCTCCGGCAATCCCGCTTCGTCGCGGAAACCCATCAGCCTCTGGCCGGGTATGCACCATTCGCCGGTGACGACCGCTCTTTGGGAAGCCAGGTCCAGCATCTTCGAAAGGCTGCTCGATCCCCCCAAAGACGCGCCGCCGCAGAGCGAACTGCTCACCAAGACGCCCTCCCAGAGTCGGACCATCGTTATCTACAAATTCTCTTCTGATTTCATTCTCAGGGAGCAGTATCGAGATCCATGGAACGAGGTCAGAATCGGAAAGCTGCTTGAAGATCTTGATGCCTTGGCTGGCACCATCTCCGTCAGAGTATGCCGCCTCCCCTTCGTTTCATCCTTTTCAAATTGATAGCGGCTTTTTAAATGCAATTTCCTAACCCTAGCTCTTTACTAGCGCTAATTCTGCTGTTTTTCCCATTTTGTAATCTTTATTTCCGCGACGATTTGAAGAGGATTTGAACTTCTTTATAATCTCTCAAGCTCTCTTCCGTTATGATTTCTCACATTTAATAGAAATTAAAGAATAAAAGTAGCTTAAGCGTTTCTTCTTTAGTTTGAATTTTGCATTTCTTTTTTAGTTTTTAACTTCGAAGAGTTTAAGTTCAAAGTTAGCTGAATATGAATTGGTAAAGGGTTTCTGCATCTTATGAATTTATCAGATTCTCTTCCTTCTTAAGATTTTGTTTTGTTTCCTCTTTGACAGCACTGTTCTGATGTTGATAGCACTACACGGCCACTTTTGGTGGTAACTGCATCTGTCGACAGGATTGTTTTGAAGAAGTCAATTAGTGTTGATGCTGATCTGAAAATAGTTGGTTCAGTCATATGGGTTGGACGATCATCAATTGAGGTTCAGTTAGACATGATCCAGTCTACAGAAGGTATGGCCCTTAGGAGTTAGGAATATAGTTTAATGAAGTGGTGAATCAATGCGACGACCATTCTATCTGTTATAAAATTGAAGTTCCAAAATCTCTTCTTTCTCTCTCTCTCTGATTTTTTTTTAGAAATGAACTTCAAATTTTCACTGGGTTCTTGGGCGAATTCCATTATGAAAATTCTCTGCCTCAATTTGGCCTCTGTCTAACAATAATGTACTGTAAACTTTGAGAGTATGATTGAAACACTAAAAGAATGGCCATTTTGTTGATATTTCTGTCTCTTATAAAAAATAAAAACGCTAAAAGAATGGCAAAGTGAACAAATCTTCGGAAATTGTAACACTTGGATCTTAGTATATTTGGGGTTTCTTCTGTGTTTTTCATTCATCTTTTGACATCAAAAGTTTTAAATATGAAGTATGCTTTTGACATCCACTGTCTTCCAAAATTTTAAATTAAAATTATGGAACTTACTTTTTTCTTAAACGTATTTTATCGTTAATGTAACGATGATTACTGCAATTTTTTATATTTCAGGACAATAGAACCTAGATCAATTATATTAGAATTAAATACCTCTCCCCATCGACAAACTTATTGAACTCTATTTCTTTATTTTCCTATTAATAATTTTGGGTGTCAATATCATTTGTAGGATACTAATATCCGGAGAAGATGACCACAAAGACTTGGATCTATGTATAATAGACATTGAGATTTACAACTTATCTTCTTACCTCTAGACCAACTCATTATGATTATTGAACTTTGTTTCCTATAGACAAAAAAATACAATAACCACATGGAAAGAAAGATGGGAACAAAAATCCTAGGTTTATAAGCATGGAAGCAGAAGAATTCAGATGAGAGAGAGTAAGGGAGCAACAGAGAGAGTAAGAGAGGCTTATAGAAGAAGACTCTTTGAGTTTGTATGGAGGTATTTTGGTAGAAAGGTCAAGAGAGTTGAGAAAAGTTTTTCTTGAATTTATTCGTTAGAACTTGATCCTGGTGCTATGGGTTAGTGATGGTTTAGTGCGATGGGTTAGTGTTGGTGTTGTCCAAAAAGTTAAAGAACTCCTTGTATTATCCTTAAAAATTTTAATGATGCTCTCAAATTCTCAATTCAAAGAGACCAAAGAAGGGTTATTGGGACATTTCTCCATACAACTCTAGCTTTTCCATAGAGTCACCAACTTGATAAAACTTCAGGAAGCAGAAGATTTGTATCTATTAGACAGCACCAAGCTAAACCAAACTTGTGAAAGAGAATTGCAGCTTCTTCTAACAAAATTGCAATGACTAAACAAATGGTCTAGAGTTGCCCACCCAGCATCTTGGGTGTTTTCACTTTGGTAAGATACAATTCTGTTGGGACTTTTCCTGTCCAAATCAACTTAATTTGATGTCCTTCCAGCTTGCTAATAGTGGCATTAGTTGGAGTGCTGCTGATTTACATGATTCAACTCCAATACTTACGATTGGAATTTTGATTAAAATTTGAAACCTTCTAGCCTCATGGGGAGTTCTGTTGTTGTGACTGCTCTCTATCAGACATTCAAACTCCATCCCTGCATTCTTGAAGAGTCTTTCCGTTGCCCCTACTGATGCAAGGAGAATAACTGACATAAAAGGCAGCAGTCGAGCCATCTGTCTTCCTAAAATCTTTTTTTTTTCCCTTGAGTACGACTCCTAAAATCTTATTCTGTCTCTATTACATTACCAGCCTGAATCAGGTTCATTTCTCCATCACACTCCAGCATATCTATGTATAGAAGAATGCATCCAAAAATCCAACTCCATTCGGACCTGTATTTCCATTGTTATTTCATGATATTTATTTTATTATTTTATTATTTTATGAGAAACAGATCAGAAGTTTCATTCAGAAAGCCAACTGGGTGAAGACAGCCTAGCAGACAAAGGGATAAGGCAACCGACTTTATTGTAGACTTTTCCATAATCTACCATAATAAAGCATTTTCATTTTCTTCAGGTTCCCACATCTATGACTTGATCTTTCTGAAAGATGTCTATACTACTGACTACTGACTACTATTGTCAAACAATCTTGAATGTCCGCAACCGCTTCTAAAACCAAGCGAAACTGGAGACTCTTAACTACTCTTAAACAAGAAAATTGTAAAAAAACCTTCTTCCAAAGAGCAACAAAAGGTTATTTTATCACCATGGTAGATTTTGAGAATCTCTTTTTTCTGCTAAAATGAAACTTGTGCAGAACGTTAAATGGATTAAGGAAATTTTTTATGTTTTGACAAGAATTCACGCAGATTTTGCGTTGGACATCCTTTTGCCTGGTTTCTGGGTCCAATCACCTAGCTATTGACTGCTAAATTGTTGAGTAATGGTGTTTCTTATCATAAATCAAACTTTTTGTTCTTTTTGCAGAATGCTCAAACACCTCAGATGCAGTGGCTCTGACAGCGAACTTCATATTTGTGGCTCGTGACTCCCAGACTGGGAAAGCTGCTTTGGTTAACAGGCTTTTGCCAGAAACTGAGGAAGAAAAATTACTTTACGAGGGAGCGGAAGCCAGAAGTAAATTAAGGAAAAGGAAGAACAGAGGTGATATGTGGGAGTTAGAAAATGGGGACATAAATAGACTTGATGCCTTGTTAGCAGAGGGAAGAATCTTCTGTGACATGCCAGCCTTGGCAGACAGAGACAGCATTCTTCTCAGGGATACTGGCCTTGAGAACTCATTGATTTGTCAACCACAACAAAGAAATATACATGGTCGGATTTTCGGGGGGTTTCTGATGCAACGGGCATTCGAATTGGCTTTCTCAACAGCTTATGTATTTGCTGGAATGGTGCCTTACTTTCTAGAAGTTGATCATGTTGATTTCTTAAAACCTGTGAGTGCACTTCTCTTTTCTACTCTAACATAGGAATATGGTTACTTCCTTGGTGTAATCTTTGCCTTTTCCATTGGAAAGGAAATAGATATTCCAATTGCATAAATGTAGGCTGTTCCAATGTGCAGGTGGACGTTGGAGACTTTCTACGCTTCAAATCATGCGTTCTTTACACGGAAGTCGAAAATCCAGATCAGCCATTGATCAATGTTGAAGTTGTTGCCCATGTTACGAGGCCTGAGATTAGGTCTAGCGAGGTAAAGTTCCCGTGTATGCGTATGGCTATACTATAAATCTATGGGTTTAGGGCTTTAGAGTTTTTTTTTATTTATTTATTTATACTACTATTTGTAGTTCTTAAAATTTTGTTTAGATTTTAAAAATCTTTTAAAAAGAGTAGATAACACAGCAAAAACACATACTTAAATTTTCAGTTGCAAAAAATAAAAAACAAAATGGTTATCAGACTGGGTTTAGTAATATAAAGACTACATTTGAATAAGTATAAAAGTCTCCGATGAAATATTATTTAAACTTTTAAATCCAATTATGTTCATAGCCTATTATTCAAACTGGAAAGAACTAGAGAGCGTAAAGTATTCGATTCGACGGAGGTTTTAAAATTCCCCCACCCTCACAATTGCTTTTGTCAAAAATGGAAATTTACGATAAAAAATGAAGTCAAATGTGTTTCTAATGTTAGTAGTTTATGTTAATCATTGGCAATCAATCTCTAGCAACTTGTTAACTTGCTAATTGGTTGTGAATCTGTGATTTACTTGCCAAATGCAGGTTTCAAACACATTCTACTTCACTTTTACCGTGCGCCCTGAGGCAAAAGCAAACCGAAATGGGTTCAGACTTCGCAACGTCGTTCCAGCAACAGAAGAAGAAGCTCGCCGTATTATCGAGCGCATGGATGCCGAAAAGCTGCTGAGGGACTTGAGCAAGCAATCTGAATCAGGTCAGATGTAGACAGCAAACACAGTTTATCTTAGAAAATTATTGTAGAATATTTGTGAAGAAAATTAATCTTATTCAATAGGTGTGAGTATGGCTGAAGAAAAGTAAATCAAATTATGTATTGGAGTACTGATGGTTTCACTTTAGTGATAAATATCTCATCTTATTGGAGCTCAAATTCAGAAGTTTCTCGAATGGTTTAAAATAAATAGTCACTGTTGTTTGTTGGCTATTAATTGTATATTTTGAATTATTTCAAAGACTTCAAGGTTTAAATTGTGAGATTTTGAAATTTATGGAACTTTATAAATTAGAAATGTATTTATTTCTTTATTTTATTATGATATGCATCTGTATACATATATAAAATAGCTGTACTTTTCATCTAGTTTGCCCCCTAATTTTTAGAAATAAAATATATTATATATCAGAAAACTTTGGGATTTTTTTAAAATAATGTTTTCTTTTTAAACGTATTTTTAAAATAATGTTGATATAAATAAAATTTAAAGAAAAATGTGGTTTTCGAAACTTATTTGAAAAATAATGCCTGAAAATTAGGGTAGGATTTCAAGAGACCGACTATCCCAGACAGTTTCTGAAGCGCGCTCTCTCTCTCTCAACCACTTCCTTCCTCTCATCGGTAGCCTAGTGTGGTCAGAGGATTCTCCCTTTCCCTTCTTCTATTCCCCAACGATGTCGTTTCCTTCATCATTGCTGACACTCATTTCGACTTCCACCATGTATCCTGTCATGGAATTGGATTTGGAGTTTTACGGGAACTGACCCCATCATATGAAAGAGGCCTCAATGTTGTTCGAAACCCAAGAAAAACGATCAAAATGCCCATATAGAACCTAAAAACGGAAGAAAACCAACCGACAAAACAAGAAGAAAAGAAGGAATTGGGGTGAGATTATGAAGAGTGTGAATTTGAAAATCATGAAACCCTAGAAACTGTGGTCAACTTAGTCGATCAAGTCCCACACTAATTTTCAGGCATTATTTTCCAAATAAGTTTAGAAAAACACATTTTTCTTTAAATTTTATTTATACCAGCAGTATTTTAAAATTAAAAGAACGGTTATAGTGGCCTAATTCATTATCTGTCACCTCGTAAGCAGAGCAAATATCTAACAAGTAAATGTTTATGCAGGAATTTGCACAACGTTTCTTCAGGAATCAAACTCGAACCCGGTCTCCGGTTCCGACCTGAACAACACAACAGAGTGGACCTGCACAAGAGGGTAAGCACTCCGACGCTCAAGTCAGTATAGATCAGACTCCTTATTTAGTTCGAGGTGAGATTCCCTACCTGAGCGTGAAATGAAGTCCTCTATGTATAAGTAATGGATCTGACAGTTCACACGACCGGCGGTTATATGTCTGTTTTCTCATATCGAACCTGTCGGGTTCCGAGCAGATCGGACCCCAGTCAAGTCGAACCTTGGTGCCCATTGTTTTATAACGGCAAACCCGGCCACCTTGGCAGGGCCGAGGTTGACCTAATCAATCCTTATTATTTGGTTTCTTCAACACAAATAAGGGTCCTCCACGTGTCTCGGGTATGTTTACCTCCAAACATTGGCCTCCTCTCTGTCAGGTTCGATCTCGATCTGACAGAGAAGTTCATTCGAATTTATTTCGGACACGTGGTGACTTTTCATTTGTAGAAGGAATATGACCGTTGAGGAAGATGTTTCGACCTGCCAGGTTGTCGGAGCACTCAAGCTTTTCGCTGTTGCGTATCTCGAGAAGATCCCAGCCGCTCGTTGCTTACACGTGTACGGCACAGAGGTTTTTCCGATCAGCTATAAATAGTCCCAAAACTTCAGGTCAAACCTTACGTTTCTTGAATTTCTGGAGTTCGATCTGAAACCAGCTCGAACCCTTTCTCTAGGTCAGTCGCTTTCCTTGCTTTTACTCTTCTTTCAAACATGATAGTTTTCTTGTCTTCCCCCTCCAGTAGTGATAGCCTGGGTAGTGTGGGCGATAAGTAGTTCGCCCCCCAAACCAAGTGACTCTGGGGAGGTCTTAGCTCGCAGGTTAGAGTCCGAGCTGGAAGAAATAGAGAACTTTAGGTTCTCTGATGACGGAGAGGACAATGATACCTCCACCTCGGGCCAGGGTCTAGAGTACCCTTCTAGGATGCCCGAGCACTATCTTGGACCCCTCCGTAGGGGGTTTAAAATTCCAAACGATATCCTTCTTAGGATCCCAGAGGAAGGGGAAAGAGCTGACAATCCCCCAGAGGGATGGGTCACTCTTTATCTAAAGATGTTTGAGTACGGCCTCAGGCTTCCCCTTCATCCTTTCGCCCAGGAGTTCTTAAACCGAACTGGTTTGGCACCGGCACAAGTGGCCCCCAATGAGGGGTGTCATTTTTGCTTTAGCCATCCTCTTTTGGTTGCGAGCTTGGGATGAGGACGAGGCCGAACTACTAAGTGTCGAACAACTCCTGTGATGCTTCGAAGCCAAAAGGATAGCTAAGAAGCCTGGTCGGTACTACATGTGCGCAAGGAAAGGCGCATGTGGCATAGTCAAGGGGCTGACCTCCATCAAGGGACGGGTAGGAAAGTTGTTCTTTGCCTCGGGAGAGTGGCTGGCAAAGGACGAGTCTGGTCGTGCCTTTTTTGATGTTCCCACTAGGTTTGAGAACTTAGGTATGGAGTCTATCCTATTTTCTTTCCTTTTAATTTCTTGATTTTCACTTCTAACTCAAACTTTGGTTTGTTTTGTGCAGTATCGATTAAGCCGATTCCGGAGCTCGCTCAAGCCTCTTTTGACACTCTCAAGTACTACAAGGACAACTTCCCCAAAGGCAGGAAGATTGGAACCTTGGTCACCGACAAGCTTCTCTTGGAGTCAGGGCTTCTTGACTACAACCCTCTAGTTCGACCAATCGAAGCTTCAAGGCCGAACTCTGAACTCGGTAAGTCGTGCTCGACCTAGGTTTCAATTTTATCTTTCCTTTGATCTCTAACTTTATGCCTGTTTATTTTGCAGCAATGGTGTGCGGATTCACTGGAAGTGTGAAGCGCAAGTCCAAGGGCTGTGCTCACGCCCTCAAGACCGTGGTGAGCACTGAACCAGTGACGCCTACGGTGCCACGGACTGAGGCTCAGGGTAACTCTGGGCCATCCTCTGCAGTCCCCACCCCCGTGATCGAACTAGACTTGTCTGGGGGTCGATCTGAAGAGAAGCGTCCAAGGGAGGAGTCCGAGGCGCTTGATGTATCTCCCCTGAACGAGGTGAGGGGAGAGTCTCCTTTGAGGAGAAGAAAGAAGAAGAAGACCTCCTCCTCCTCGTAGGCTGAGGCTCGTGGGACTCTGCCTATGAGCCATGCTGATCTGGTGGATGACCCCGCAGCTCGGATGGGGGGAACATCCGACGTGAGAATGCGGTTCAGGATGGAGCCGACAAGCTCAGGGGTGAAGGACCAGGTGTCCCGCATCTCTGCCACGTG